AAAAAAAAAAAAGATTTTCTCTTTTGTGGTCTACTGCCATTTTGTTCGTAGGTAATTAATTTAGCGTCGCTTCTTTTTCTCCTTCGAACAAGCCAATATACACCATAACGAAGGTGATGATGGAATGAAATGGAGAAAAGAAAGGAAGAAAAAAAAAAAAAGAAAGCAAACGAACGAACGCATGTGTGCCGTTCATTTTTTTTCTTCTTCTTTCTTTTTCTCTTCTACTTCTACTGTCTACTTTTGCTGATAGTAATATTTGGTGTGGCAGTAATACAACTGCAAAATAAAAGGGTGAGAGTAAGAACAGACGTCAATTCGTCGTCGTCGTCGTTGTCCACTTCAGATAGATAAATAGATCAATATATAGATGGAAGAAAATTTATTAAATGAAATCGAAAATTTTACATCTATTAAATATCTTGATGATGTGACTAATAATGATCATTATTGTAATGATGATGAACAAGTATGTTTAATAGTATATATTTGAACATAAAAAAATATCAAATTTCAAATAATGATATTTATTTTTCTATTTAGGATAATTCACTTGTTCATCAATTAGCTATTAAAGATAAACAATTAATATTAGCAGCTAAATGTGGCAAAGTTTTATTAGAACAAAAAGATGAACTTGAACGACAAATAGACATAATCAATCGAGATTATCAACAACGAATTGATGTACTACATATACATATCTCTATAGAAACATATATTAATTTTATACTTTTGTAGGTACTTGAACAAGAACGACATGAATTACGTTTACTTGTTGAACAAGTTCAAAGTGAATGTGAAACAAAAATAATCGAATTAAATGAAGATAAATGTGAAATGCGCCGTCAATTAGATGATTTACGTCGTGAACAACGAGTACATGATGAACAACAAACACAAATAATACAAGAATTAACGGAAATTAATTATAAACTTACACAAGATTTACAAATTGTAAGTGTTTTTGTTTAAATATTTACTATATAGATAAAAGCTAAAAAAAGACAAAAATTTTTTTTTTTTGTGTTATCAAATAGAGTCGTACAACTGAGTCAAGATTACAAGAACAATTGAGATTATTACGACAACATTCTGATACCGTATGTCAAACAAATACAGAACAAATACATGAATTGTCTGCGATAAAACAGCAGGTAACAAACAAATGTTAAATGATCCGAGAAAAATAAAATATATATACTGATTAACCGGATATAATAATATTTCTATTTCGAAAACGAAATTTTAATAATAAATCTGGTCTTACATATCAATTGAATATAATTATCATATTTTTTTTTGAAAGGATTAGTATAAAAAAAACATATCATATCGAATTTCAAATTAAATATTTAATATATGAGTAGATGGAAAAACTTTTTTTTTATTTTAGTTTGAAAATCTTCATTGTCAACAAATTCAACTTGAACTTGATCATCATTTATTACTCGATGAACGTGATACATTAGCGCATAAACTTGATGAATGTCAACGAAAATATATTTCAATTGAAGATGAATATCGTTCTTTACAAGCAACAGTAAAAATATTTAAAGATCCTTTTTGTATTTCATGCATATAAATATATTATTCTTTAGAAATTTCAAAATGAAAAAGAATTAAATGATGCACATGACTTAATCCATCGTCTATCACAATATGGTCCAGATAATCATGTGCCACCATCTTTTATGCAAGAATTACATGAAGATTTCGGTATATATCCTGATGGGAACACACGTTTTAACTCAACTATTATTGATGAAGATAATAATACAGAAGATTGTCAGATGGAAGAAGATGATGATGATGGTGTTGAAATATCACAAACACATAGTAGTTCATTCATCAATGAAAAATGTCTTTTAGATGAACTTCTACAAACCGAAGAGGTAAAGGAAATTACTTTAACATTAATCTTCACCTTGATGTGCATGCAGTGAGATCTATCCTATTATACTTTCAGTATATAATAATAATAACAACATCTCATGCTACTAAAATTAATAACACTGTCTAAGTAGATTTGACATTTGCGTCTGAGAATTACTCTCATACATTATTGAACATGCGCTATAGTATTGCATAACATACCAAAATATCATAAAAGTCACTCAATATAATTATAAACATGTTCTTTTTTCTTTCTCTTTTTAGTTTAAACGTGAAATAGTTCTTGTCTATAAACAATTACGTTCTCTTTGTTTGGAATTAATTTATATTCATACACATACATATTCAAATGATAATTCAATATCATCATCATCAATAAGTGATACAGTTGATAAAGTTTATGATCGTCTACAAAATGGTTGTCTTATAAGTATATTATTTGAATTAAAAAATTTAATTAAAGATATGATTGAAAATGAAGATTTATCTGTATATAAAAATGAAAATAATATTTTACCAAATTCTAATACAATTTTACCATCACCATCAATAGCAACTATAAATAGTTATACATCAGCTTATGATGATATTAATTTAATACTAATACCATCATCTCCGCCTATGTAATACGAATCATTTTTTTTTTCTTTTTGTCTTTCTGCATAATAATCTCTGTTTTTGTTGTTGTTTATATTGAATTTCGCTACAAGATTTTTTTTGTACTTTTGTGCATAGAGCTTAAATATATATTTCATATTTCATTTGTCAATAATGTCATCATTTGACTTATGTATAAGCTCCCCTTACACTGATGTCGTTCATAAGCGAATCAACCTAATCTATATATATTACAACGACTGGCGGTATTGCTCATACTCATAATAATGAGTCACATATAGCTACCGGATTATTAGGTTTAAATAATCGTAAGTCGATAACTCCATCGACTGGTAAATTATTAAGACTTGATGTTGGTATAACAACAGGTTTATATGAATCACCTAAACGTATACTTGTTGTTTGTTCAAGTCATTCACGAGGTTTATATTTAAGTGAATTTGCTGAACCATATAATATATTACGAAGAAAATTTCAAGGAAAAGAAGGGATTGAATTCGTTCTTGCATCACCAAAAGGAGGATCGGTAAGTTTCATTTCGTCTATCATCATATTGAAATATAAAAGTACTCTATTATAGATACCGATTGATCCAGCATCACATCCTCGTACAAATACACAACGTGATGAATGGTCATCAGCTATACGTCTTTTATCTCAATCAACACATCCTTTTTTAGATACTCAACATGCACATGATTATGATGCAGTCTTTTTACCAGGTGGACATGCTCCAATGTTTGATTTAGCTGATCATTCTCATTTAAAACAATTATTAACTGATTTTGATCAACAAATGAAACCTATTGCTGCTATTTGTCATGGTGTCGTTGGTTTAGTAAATGTTCGACGAAATAATGATGAACATTCATTTATTCATGGAAGAATTCTAACAGGATTTTCATTAGATGAAGAATTATTATCATCAAGTGGACAAGATGAAAATTTTGTCACGAAAAATCCATTTATTTTAGAAACAAAACTTAAAGATCAAGGAGCAATATATATCAAAACAAGACCAAATAAAGAACATATTGTACAAGATGGACTTTTATTAACAGGACAAAATCCAGCGAGTGCAAAACAATTAGCTCATCGTTTAGGTGAATTAATTGATCAATGTGCTTCTCAAGATTATCAACAAGTCAATTTAACATCATCTTTACCAAAAACTTTGATAACATGTCATGTTGCATTAACAAATAATAATTCACAATTATTATCTCGTTTAAAACTAGCTCATTTAGAATATATTCAACGACATCAACATTTAATTATTTTTAGTGGATCAACATTATTTACAGAGTCATCTAATGTAACTCAACAAGATTCATCAACAATGGTTATTTTATTAGCAACAAGTGATCTTCGACAAGCTCAAAATTTTATTGAGCATGAACCTTATACAGCATCCAAACAAATATTTGATATAACTCATATAAAACCTTTCAAACAATTATTACCAAGTGGAAATAATCAATATTTATTGAATTATCATGTACAACAAGAACAATTGAAAGAACAACAACAACAACTTCCACTTTATTAATAGATAAAGTAGATCTATATTTTAAAAAAAACTTCATTAATTTTTTTGTTTCTTTCATAATCAAGCATTGTAATCGAATTAAAAATAAAAATTTCCTTTAATTGTACTTTCATTCGTTTCGTAACCTATTAATAGTACTTATTTAGTTTTTGTTTATCAGGTATAAATCGACAATAGGCAAGTTATACAAGATAAATTCATTCAAGCATATCATTGACGTTGTTAGCTTATAAAATAATAGTCAATAGGGGGTATTTAGTATTTCTATTCGATAAAGAATGTTGTCCTATGGTATTACGCTTTCGAATCTCGAAAATTCTTTACATTCAATAACTGATGCTGCTCATCTTTTATCAACAAGTAGTGAACATAAACATGGTATTTTACATCGTTTACCTGGCATGTCACTTATTACTGAATGGCCACAAGGATCATTCGTGGAGAATCTTGCTGCTAAACATGATGGTCATTTATTAGTTACAGTTCATTCAACGAATGAAATTTATGAAGTTAATCCTACAGTATCAAAATCTAATCGAACACTATTAACTACACTTCCAGTAGGTCCAACAGGTATAACTGAACTTGATTTTAATCATTTTTATGTTAATGCTGGCTCAGTTGGTCAACATGGTACATGGAGTATATATAGTGTTACTATTCATCAAGCAACAATACCAACTGCATCAGTTCAAAAAATTGTTGATATTGATTCAGCTTTGTTCTTAAATGGTCTTTGTGTATTATCATATGAACATGGTACACTTCTATCAGTTGATTCAACGCTTGGACAAATATTTAAAATAAATGTTCATACAAAACAAGTTGAATTATGGTATGAAAGTGATTTATTAAAAAAAAGTTCACATGATATACATATGCCTGGTATAAATGGTATTCGTCGATGTTCAGTTGATGATTATCTTTATTTGACAAATACAGATCGTGCTATTATCCTTCGTTTAGCAATCGATCCATTTGATTATCGTCCAAAAGGACAATTACAAATAATTTTACGTAATATCGTTTGTGATGATTTTACCATTGATCGTATGGGTACTATTTATGCAACAACACATGTACATAATTCTCTAATGCGTTTAACACCAGTTAAAGATGGAGAATATTTGAAAGAAGAAATAGCAACATTAGCAGATGGTGTAGCTGGCGCTACATCATGTATATTTGGTAGAACATATCAAGATCGAACAAGGTACGGTTCGATTATCAACGTAATCAAAATAGGGGGAGATAGAAGTATTAAAATTGATCACATCATTTTTATATACAATTAACAACGAAATAAATCTAATTCTTCCGTTTGTATATGTCTATGAAAAAAAAAGAGGTAAGCATTTTTATTAAATTTATTAAACTATTCTGTTAAAATGTAAAACCGAACATTATGATTAAAATAGCATTTATTTTTATAAAAGAAAATATCCTATCAAAGCTTTTGATCAAATTGAAACAACGAACAGATTTATTTTTCTTTCATTTGTAAATAATGATAGGTACAAATAGAATAAAGAATATGTCCTTGCTATCGGGCAGAAAAGGAAAGAGTTTACTAACATGCAACTCAAATGCTTATATCACTAATTCCAATTCTCACATTTGTTGTACAACCAATAAGAATTTAGAAATGTAAAATCTTTTCCATTCATATTATTAAACTATATTTTACTACTTATGAATAGCCGGGCATTTCTTCACAATTCTACTATACAAATTTTGATTTCTTATTGTGTATAAGTAGATACATACTTGCCAAGAATTGATCTAGATTTTGTTACGTATTCTCGTCTTAGTATCAATAAGGAAATAGTTGAAAGAATGACATTGAATAAGTAAAATAATCTATTATCTACTATTTCCATAGCTGTAAAACAGTTGTTAAAACAGAGTAACAACTAACTTTTCTTTTTTTTAAAACTTACGTATAAAAATATACGTAGGAGTTTAAGAACAAGCCTCTCACAATCTTTTTCCCTTACGGACAACTGCAGTTAATTAGAGATTGTTCTATTTATATCCTGAGGCTTTTCGTTTCCCTTGTCCACCGATCTCTGTAATAAAGATCAACGAGACAAACATTGATGGAGTACAAACCTTTCGATAGTAAACAAGAACGACAAGTACAAGATTTCTTTCTTAAATTTCCGAAACAATGAAAAAGATGCTTTACAGTGTTACCATCAATGTTTCAAAACATTAGATTGAAACTTAAAGTTTATTCAGCATCTATCAAGAAAGAAAACTAAAAATGCAACATTATACAGATATTTTACATCTATAAAAACTGTAACAAATATTTATTGTAATAAACATTGATTTGATCGTCGTTCTTGAACAACATTCAAAATTATTGGTAGTTTATGTTCGGAATGAATTGTTGATGAAATCTAAATCAAATAAACAAATCTAATATGAACTATTCATTATAGATTTTCTACAAACCGAATTATTAATCCATAATAAAATTTCTTGTGACTCATTTTGATATGTAAATGAACATGAATTCTTATTCAAACGTGTATTACTTTTTAACCATTGATATGATATTGGTTTAATAATTGTATAAAAATGAAATACAATATTTTCAAGTTGATGAAAATCATTAATTATTTGACATATGAATTGTATTGAATTAAGATAAATAGATAATTGTTTAATAGATGGAAATATTCGATGAAGTTCTTTAATTTGTGTTCGATTCGTAATTTTTATGGAATCTTCAAGATATAAATAATGAATAGTTTTTAATGGTAATAATTGATTGAAATCAATTTGTGAAATTGTAAGTTGATTTATATTTGGATTATATGTAAGAATTTCATTGAGAATTGTATACGAAATAGATTGATGAAATGAAAGATGACGAAGAAAAGTAAATTTATTCATATGAGAAATTGATAAAAATAGCTTTTCTTCTAATACATCCAATCTTTCAAGTTTATGAAAATGATGAAGATTCATTATTGATGTATTCCTATCAATTTCTATTCGTTTAACTTTTGAATAAAACCAACTATCATCGGGTGACGTAGTTAAAGGTGATGATGTTGATGAGACAAATAATTGATCATCAAAGCAAGATATTGTATAGACATTGTGTGATGTTATAGCAACATACCATTTTTTAACATCTCGCCAAAAGGGCGTAGAAAAACTAGTAAAAATTTGATCCATGACATGAGTTGAATTTGCAGATGATAGTTCGAATTCAAAAATAAAATCGAATTTTTTAAGTGAAGCAATTGTAGAACATTTTTCCCAATGATAACCATTTGCTATTTCATCAACTGATCCTCGAATATTTAATGTCAAATGTGTTAGATCATGAAAACGACAAAGAAATATTTGCATTTCATTGAATGTTGTTTTTTCACCTGACAAACAAAAACTTAATATATATTTATTAAATCATTTATATTTGCGTCGTCTATGAATACTACAGTAAAAAACAATTTTCATGTTATTCATCATAATATTGTAGTATTAGTAACGGGATT